TGATGTCCACATGAAGATGGACGCAAGGACCCCAGAAATGCAGATCTACTTTTATTGCTGTTAAAATAGATAACACAGGCCTAGAACCATCCTTTTAAAGACAATGAATAGTCGATACCAACAAAAAAGGCAATGAATGGCAGAAAGGGTAGACTTTTCACCACGTGATGCTGCAGCTATTGGATAGTCATGTCTTTGCCCAAATGAGCATTGCTCACTGGGTCCTACTACAGGCCCAAACTGAGTCACAGTGGATCATAGACCCACATGTGAGTTTAAAAATCTCTATGAGAAAATATGTGTAAATCTGTTAGTAGTTTGTGTTACAGAAAGTTTTCATAGCCACAATATAATCCTGATAAAGGGTCACCATTCAGAATACACATAGAACGATGCATACAGTCTCAGTAAGAAAGATGCAAATGACCCAGTTGAGAATAGACAAAATGTTAGAATAGCTGCCTCCCCAGAGAAGGCACATAGATGAGAAATGGCACAAGAAACTCAGTCCACACCCCTGGTGCTTAGGGAAATACAATTAAAAACCAGTGTTTGATGCCCTGACACATGCATTAGATGGGCTGCAATTAAAAAGACCTTCATACACACTGAGGGCTAGCACAGGAAGGCACCAGAGCAGGCCCCTACCACAGATGCACATATGAAATGATGTAATCATTATGGGGCACAGGACCGCTCTGCATATCACATGGGGAAAACCAACCACCTGAGAGGCAGGGTGCTGATAGAGCAAAGTTCATTCTGAGGAGCTAGCTCTTCAGAAGGCAGCTGAAGGGCCCTACTGGTGGGAGTCTGACTCAGAGGCAATTTGTTTAGGAGCTGTGGCCAAATGATGCACATCTCATTGTAATTGCCTAGTGACCAGTTTCTTTTCAGTTCAGCAAATCTCAAGAGCAACAGATGGTTATATCCTCAGGCTATTTTCATCACTGATTAGTTTGCCCACATGCAGTTCCCAACATATTAGGCAATGGACAGGCTAGAGGGTTAGGTGCCCCAGTCCCTCTGGCCGCCCACTGAAATCTTGGCAATAAAAGAAGACACACTTCACCTGATTCTTGCAGATGACCAGGGTCAGGTGAGGTGAAGCTGGGAGTCTCCAGGAGATCTGGTTTCAGTTCTTGGCTTCCTACCTACCTTGGGAAATGGTTTTCCCTGCCTATTAAATGTTCAATACACACCTACCATGAGATTCATCCATTCCAGCCCCAGTACCTACCTGAGCACCAAGTGAAAGCAGACATCCACACAAAAGTTGTTCTTGCATGTTCGACATGGCTTCGCTTGCAGTGGATCCAAATTATTAACATCCCACGAGTCCAATCAGAAAGTGAGGAGATACACAAAGTCTTTCATATCTGTACAGGAGAACGCAACACAGCAATATATATAGATGAACTACTGAGGCATGGTGAATCTCAAAGTAATTATTTTTTCTTTTTAGTTTCATTGACTTTATTTTTTTAAATATACGACAGCGGAATGCATTACAATTCTTATTGCACATATAGAGCACGGTTTTTCATATCGTTGTATATACAATATGTATATGCCAATTCATGCCTTTATATGTGTACTTTGTTTTGTTTGCATTACAATTCTTATTACACATATATACCACAATTTTCCATATTTCTGTTTTTATATAAAATATGTTGACAAGAGAACACAACATAGCAACAAATATAGATGAACTCCTGAGGCACAGTGAATCTCAACTAATTATTTTAATTTAAAGCATTCAGCCCTTAAATCTATGTTGCAAAATGTGTGTGCACGTGTGTGTATTTCACAATCACTGTGCACATTTCCAGAAAATGCAAAGTAACCTACAATTCCTGAAAGTTATCCATGTTTGCTGGTATGGGGAGGAGAGTGTCAGGGTGAGTTGCAGGGAGGGGTTGACTGGGGCATGTGAAAATGTTCTGTATCTTGACTGTGGTGATTGTGCCACAGACCATATGTCAAACTACCTAGTGGTGTGCTTTAAATAGGAGCATCTTGTTGTACATCACTTACACCTCAGTGGAGCCTCAAAAACTCAATCAAAAATGCAGAAAAACTTGCAGGGCACAGTAGTGCATGCCTGTAATCCCAGCTCGGGTATCTGAGACAGGTGGATCCTTAGTTCAAAGCCAGCACAGCAACTCAGTGAGAACCTGTCTCAAAAGTAAAATACAAAATAGGACTGGGGAAGTGGCTCAGTGGTTGAGTGCTCCTGGGTTCACTCTCCAGTACACACACACACACACAGACAAAAAAAAAATGTGGAGAAACTCACTGACCTTTGGGGATATATCAAGTCACCAAGCAGACATGCAATTAGTCTCACTGAAGAAAATAGGGGAGGGAGGATGCACAGGTATTTGAAGAGATCGTACTAGAAAATGTTCCAACTATGAGGGAAAACTATAAACTCAGATCTCCAGGGAGTTCTACGAAGCCCAAGCAGGAAACAAGATGAAGGATGAAGCCCACCAAAAACAGACTACAGGCAACTGCCAAAGTACAAAAAGAAGCAGACATTCTTAAGAGGAGCCTGAGAAAAGATGCATGATTGAAAGAGGCTGGTGGGCAAAAACAAATCGTGGGAAGCCATCACAGAACTGTTACATAAAGTCCGGTTCAACCCTAGTGTGGGTGATTCTGTAGCCTTCAGTATGACAAATTAATGGGATCTGCTTGTGTTAACCTGTTCTGTGAATGTAGGAAGTTGCAGAAGAGCATGGAGTGTACAATCCCATTTCTGACCAAAGGAAAAGAAGTGCCTGCACAGAATAATGTCAACACATTGCAATTTATTTCTATGAGCTTGAGAAAGAAAAGCATCACCAAATAGCAGATAAATGTGTTCTCTGTAACCTCAGGTGTCTGGGGTTGGTGGGGCTTGTAATAAATAGTAAGGGGACTGTCGATCTTTATTCATGCCTCTGTGCTTTGTTGCATTTGTGTCAACAGCATGGGTTAATTTGGTAATGTTTATGGATTCCAGTAACCCAAAGATGGGAAACTCGTGGCAGAATAATACGGTGGCTAGTAGGATTAACTGGAACAAGACTGCCTTGCTTTGAATTGCATCCCAGACCATGCTAACATGTGGCACAATTTCCAGAAGCTCCTGCAACCAAGAAAGAGAGGATATGTCCTTGGTGAGATGGGGGTTCTTCTCTGTCCAGCGATGCAGGCTACACTCGGGGAGGAAACAAGTCCTCCAATCAATGTTATTAGAGATTCGCTAAAAGGTCAAAGACTTTTGTGGTTTCAAGGCTCAAGGGATTCAGTGAGTTTTCCATAAGTGAACATATGTGTGTGTGTGTCAATCTCTATGAATATGGAGGATACAGAAAGCAGGAGGAGAGGTTGAAGGAAGGAAAGGGTGGGGTAGGGAAGGAAACATCTTCCTAAAGTAAGAAATCAGGGGAAACCCAACAGGGTGTGTGAAAAGAGCTGAGAGTAAAATGTTGCACTGAAAGTTAGAGTCACCAAAGGAGGGACTCAAAAATTGGAAGCAGGTATAAAAATTGAGAGAAAGAAGGAGAAGGCAGATTAACAACACAATGAGTGAGG